GTTTTTAAAATTTGTAATTTTTATTTGAACATCGTAAAAAGATGAAAATTTAAAGAAATACTAGCTAAATGTGATTTTTGTTTGATAATTTTTATTTTAAGTTCAAGTCCAAGGTGGAATATTAAGTCTAATGAGTTGGAAGTGAAGTCCAAGGATTTATATGTTAAGTCTATTGAGTTGAATAATAAGTCTAATTTGTTAAAAATTAAGTATAATTCGTGTTAAGTCTAACGCGTTGTATGTTAAGTCTAATTGGCGTGATGTTAATCCTAATTGATTGAATGTTAAGTCCATAAAGTTAGAAGTGAAGTCCAATGATTTGTATGTTAAGTCTATTGGGTTGTATAATAAGTCTAAAGATGGAATGTTAAGTATAATGGATTATATGTTAAGTCTAATTTCTTAAATATTAATGGTAATTTGTTACATGTTAAGTCTAATGTATTGTATGTTAAGTCAAATTACTCATGATGTTAATTCTAATTGGTTGAATGTTAATTCTATAGAGTTGAATATTAAGTCTAATCGGTTGAATGTTAAGCCTAATTAGAAGATATTTTTATCTAATGAAAAACATGTTATTTATAATGAATATAATATTAAGTCTAAACTGTCTGATGTTAAGTCTATAGAATTGAATATTAAGTCTAATTGGTTAAATGTTAAGCCTAATTGAAAGATATTTTTTATCTAAAGAAAAGCATGTTATTTGTAATAAAAATAATATTAAGTCTAAATTGTCCGATGTTAATTCTAATTGAGAGGAATATCAAGTCTAATCTGTTGAATGTTAATTCTAATTAGAGGAATGTCAAGTCTAATAAATTTAATGTTAAGTCTAATAAGAAGATTGTCAAGTCTAATCTATTGAATTTTAAGTCTCGTTTGTTAACTCAATTTAGTTTGATGTTAAGTCTAATGAGTTGAAAATGAAGTCCAAGAGCTTGTATGTTAAGTCTATTGGGTTGAATAATGAGTCTAAACATAAAATGGTAAGTGTAATAGATTATATATTAAGCCTAATTTGTTGAGTGTTAAGTATAATTTATTATATGTTAAGTCTAATAAATTATAAATATTCAACTTTATACACTTAACATTCAACCAATTAGAATTAACATCATACTAATTAGACTTAACATACAACACATTAGATTTAACATACTACCTTTAGCCTTATTATTCAACCTAATAGACTTAACATACAAACCCTTGGACTTAACTTCGAACTCTATAGACTTAACATTCAATCAATTAGAATTAACATAACATCAATTAGACTTAACATACTGCGTGTTAGACCTAACATGTAACAAATTATGCTTAACATTTAACAAATTAGACTTAACATATAATCCATTACACTTAACATTTAATAAATTAAACTTATTATTCAACCCAATAGACTTAACATATAAGACATTGAACTTATTATTCAACCAAATAGACTTAACATACAAGCCATTGAACTTATTATTCAACCCAATAGCCTTAACATACAAACCTTTGGACTTCACTTCTAACTCATTAGACTTAATGTACTACCTTGGGCTTAAACTTACCATTAAAAATTGTCAAACAAAAATCAAATTTAGTCGGTATTTCTTTAAATTTTCATCTTTTCACTATGTTCAAACGGAAAATATAAATTTATTTAAAAAACCAATAGCTTAGAGATCTTGTGGAACTTACGACGGCCTCAAGCTTCTCTTCGTCCTCCTTTCGCACCGCATCCGCCTCGTTCTTTGCCACCTCTTCGCCTTTAGTGTCAGAGACCTATCTGTTATTTGACGGATCCTTTGACAAGAACTCCGATGAATTTGAGGGTTTCGTAATTGCCCTCCAAATTAGAGCTTTTTTAGTTTTGGGGGAAAAGAAAGAGAGGACGGGAAAAATTAGTGGGAGAAAAGGAGCGAATATTATTGGGTCTTTCTAAGTAATATACCCCTAGATCAACAATATGACCGGAGCATGCACCTAAGTTCGATGGCGACAGAGGGGGATGTCGATGTCTGAGAGAAAAAAGGGGAAGGAGATGAGTTAGGAGATAGGAGGAGAGGAGAGGAGAGGAGGAGGGAAGAGAAAAGAGTGGAGGAGATAAGGGCATTTTAGGAATTTTTTTTCTTCTCTCTCTGTGCTTAGTTAACAAGGAATAATAGCTAAATAAGGGCTGAATCACATAGATTTGGATTTGGGGGCTGAATCACATAGGAAAAATATTGAAGGGATTAGTCACATGGGGTTCTAAAAATTGGGGCCTTGACACAATTTTACCTTTTTAAACCAAATAAAAATATCTTTTTAATAAAATAGTTTAATATTCATAAACTATGAATTGTTAGTGACGTATGTAACATTCGATAAATGCTCAAAATATTTTTGTGTTCTTATTTGAATTTGAATATTTTAAATGAATACAAATACAAACACAAACAATCAAACCCTTCAATTCGATTCCCGTCTATGACAAAAGCACCATAAAAAAGGGTAAAAAAAACCAAACTACCACAAGGCGAGGTATGAAAAATCTAGCTCTTCTTCTACATACCAAAGTCCTTAATCCTGAGATAATTGACTAGAGCATCAAGAGGGACTTTGATTGAGATCTAGCCCCAGAGATGGAGACACATTAGGTCCTCCGGGTCCAAGGGCCCCCCTTGAAATTAGAAAAAAAAGGAGGGGGTATGCTTTATATTGGTGATTTTATATAACTATAGGGGGTCATGTGTAAAGCCCTCAGTAGATAATTTTCTCCGCTTCTATTTTATTCCGAGTCCGATGCCTCTAGGTTTTTATTCCCACATGTGGATCATTCGATTCTAGGAATTACTATCTTTTTCTTTACTCTATCGATCATGATGTTGATGTGAACATCGTTCCTTGCCATCTCTGACCTTGATTGCCCTCTTCCTCTCTTTTCTAGCCTTTTCTGTTGTTCTTAGATCCTCACTGGTGTCGGCTGCCTCCTTAGTGCTCTGATCTCGCTCCTCCAACCTTTCTACCTTCCTCGACGCTGATTTCAGGTACTTTTTCTCCTCTTTTTGATATTTCTTTTTGAATTATGATTATTTGATTGGTTTATTTGGTGTCTTGAACCGAACTTGAGAACTACATTTCTTATGTAGCTACTCGTCATATGATTTTTGTGAAATTGAAGGGATTGGTAAACTTGTTAAGAAGTTGGTTGAATTGAAGATGAATGTTTTCTTTACATTGAAAATGATATATATTGTAACACTCATGAGGAAAATGTCATGAAATGATTTCCATAAATGAAGCTAAGAAGAATGCCATTGTAAACACCATATTATAATTGGAAATATAATTTCGAAAATCTTATTATATATTAATGACGTTGAGATACTATTCAACTATGCTAAAATTTTTATATGTTATCTATTGTGTTTTGATTGTTTCTTGGTCCCTCCTTGGCCAAAATACTCGACTCTGCCACTGTCCAGCGCCCAATCCCCTGATATATTTTCTATGGATTTGGATCCTCTCCACTACAAAAAAGTAGTGGAGAGACCACTGTTTTTAATCTCAATCGTTGATTATTTAGTAGGGGTTATGATACAATCTAAATCTAACACTTATCATACCCCCGTGTATTGCACTCATTCCTAATTTGTACTAAAAGAAAAAATCAAATCTAACACTTATCATACCCCCGTGTATTGCACTCATTCCTAATTTGTACTAAAAGAAAAAATCACAACCATTAACTAGATAATCAATGGCCGTGATTATATAGTGGTCCCTCCACTATTTTTTTTGTAGTGGAGAGGATCCGAATCCATTTTCTATTGAGCACAGGTCGTTCAACAATGGGAACCTTAGCACTTAGAGGGCAAACCATATTCTGATATTCACTTTTTTTCTGATAACCTTCTACTCCCCATCACAACAAGCAACTTCCCTCTTGATTTGTACTGCTTTTCTCTCCTAATCCTCTCCCTCATCATATCTAACGAGTGCCCATGAGCACCCATTTGGAAACTATTATTTCATATTTTCAATCATCCTGGTTCCTACTATTTATGCTGTCCGGACATTGCCCCATCATTTTCACAGGTTTATCTCACAGCCCCTAGATTTCCCGTGCCAACATAATCATATTCTCCCGACCGCTCTCCCCCCCTCCAAAGCCCAAAGGGCATAGTGGGCCAGATGTTGTAACATATTGAAATGGGCCAAGGTCTCCTCCTGAATAAACTATATGTTGTTAATGGGCCCTTTAAGTTCCGACATGTCACGCGAGACTCTGCAGACCGACCGGTGATACGCAAGTGACGCAACTGACCGAGCTTTAGAGGGTGTTTGTTTCAAAAAAGTTTTGACATTTGGGTGGGATTTCAAATTCTAGGATCAAAAAATAGTTTTTTTTTTGTTTTAGAATTCCATTAAACTTGTTTGTTTCAAAACAAATTTTAGAATATCAAATCCCCAAATAATAAATATTTAAGGATTTGTGAAATCTTCTTTTTTTGGGTGGGATGTGGGGTGGATTTCAAAAGTGGTAGACAAATTAAGGATTTTAAATTCTAAAAAGTTTGAAACAAACAAAAATATTACAAATTATAGTATTCTAAATCCCAAAATATTGTTGAAACAAATAAAATTTTAGGAATCACAACTCATAACAAATTACCTATAAATTTCAAATCCCATGATAAAATCCATATCCTAAAATTATAGGATTTGAAACACACCCCCTCAGAGCAAACGGCTGAGATTTCCCCAACCACGCTAAACCCCACAATTGGCAGAAGAACGTGCATCCTCGAATTATTATTGGTCCACGTCATCATAAATGACAATGTCTCTCTGCAGATCCCAGTTACTCGAAACCCCATTGGTCCACGTCAGCACAGATGACATGTCTCCTCAGAGCTCAACGAAGTTCCTATATAAACCATTGAGGACCACGATCTCCCTCAAAATCCCACTCCAATTCCTCTGATAAATTAAACTAACAGAGAGAGAGAGAGAGAGAGAGAGAGAGAGAGTTGAGAGCTGTTCATGGATCGATCTATGAAAAAAGGAGGTTCTTTGATCTTGGTTGGGCTTTTCCTCACAGGTACCATAGATTTCCAACAATTTCCTTTTGCATTTTTTGATGAATTTTTGTTGACTTGATTTGGTCACCGACATTGAAATTGCTTTTTCTTTCACATTTTGGTTCTACTAATTTCGTTGTATTAATGTGGAAAGTTATCAACTTTATGTTCACAGGTATCACATCATAGATTCTTCTGGAATTTTTTACCTTAATATTGTGCAAATCTTTGTTTAGTTAAGTTGTGTAGTATCGATTTTTCTTAACGAGATTATTAATTTTTTAAATGGATGAACTGCATTTAGTTTTTGGGCTGAAACTAGGGCTTATGTTGATTAATTCAAACTCGAATTAGCTTATACCTTAAAATTCCACTCAATTATTCAAAGTGGTTGCTCACGCAAAGATCTACAGTTACTGTCAACCCTGATTCCAATTGTTTTTAAAAGATTAAAGACACGGGAAATTCAAATCCAGAAATAGATTTATTTAATTGAAAAGGTCAGACGGCAGAATCCTTGAGCAAATATGCAAAGTTAGAAACTAGAACTTTCAAATGTAAGAGATTATTCTAAGATTATTGTTATTAGGCAATCCTGACAGTGAGTTTCAATTGGATAAGATAAACACGCTTAAAATCCAATGCAATACATCAGATATATGTACAGTTATTGACCAATACAACATCAAACCTTGGTTTTGTTAGTATATTATCTTTAAATTAGCAAACTTATTTGGATAAATGTCTTTAGTGTAGAAAGCATGATAGTGATGATACAAGTTTTCGGTTATGTGCAAATCATGTATGCTAAACTGTTAGGAATTTACGATTCCTTCTATAAGTTATTCCTTCTGGACTTACAGTCGTTATTGAAAAGTCTGAAATGTCATGCCTATGAGTTTTCGGTAGTTAACCATAGAGATTATGTACTTGTGCAGGATGTCTCTTTGTATTTTCAACTGCGAAAGAGGAAGCAAGCAAGTTGGGTACGGTCATTGGAATAGATCTTGGCACCACTTATTCTTGTGTTGGAGTATATAGGAATGGTCATGTTGAGATTATAGCAAATGACCAAGGAAACCGTATTACCCCGTCCTGGGTTGCCTTTACTGATGGTGAGAGATTGATCGGTGAGGCTGCAAAGAATCAGGCAGCTGCAAATGCAGAGAGAACTATTTTTGATGTTAAAAGACTTATTGGAAGAAAGTAAGATCAATTGCTCCAATTGTGTTCTTAGTTTATATAAATGCGAGTATTAGTAGCAATATATTAAAATGTTCATATGCTTTATATAGGTTTGATGACAAAGAGGTCCAAAAGGACATGAAGCTTGTTCCTTATAAGATTGTGAACAAGGAAGGTAAACCATACATCCAAGTTAAGATCAAGGATGGTGAAACGAAAGTTTTCAGCCCTGAGGAGATTAGTGCCATGATTCTCACTAAAATGAAGGAGACAGCTGAGGAATTTCTTGGAAAGAAAATTAAGGATGCTGTTGTGACTGTCCCAGGTAGAATAAATTATACATCTTATTCCCCTTTTCACTTCAAACATCTTCTATGACATGTTTAATGACTAATATTCACTATTCTGATTTTTCATCCAGCGTACTTTAATGATGCTCAAAGGCAGGCAACCAAGGATGCTGGCGTAATTGCTGGGTTGAATGTTGCAAGAATTATCAATGAACCAACAGCTGCTGCCATTGCCTATGGTCTAGATAAGAAGGGAGGGGAGAAGAACATCCTTGTTTTTGACCTTGGTGGTGGCACATTTGATGTCAGCATCTTGACTATTGATAATGGAGTTTTTGAGGTCCTGGCAACAAATGGTGACACTCATCTGGGAGGTAATTTACATGTTTTTTGAGGTGGTCACATTTGCAAAATTTTCACTTCACTTCCATAGTTCAATATGTAGTTTGTAGTTTGTACTTTTCACATTCATATTCTTCATTTAGAATTACCTAGTGTGTCACCTTATAGTCATCTACATCTTCTTGCTAATGAAGTGTTAATTTTTTTCATTGGATTTGAAACCCGCATTCAGTTTCTTAGATCATTTCTTATATTTGCTTTTTTGGGCAATGCAGGTGAGGACTTTGATCAAAGAATCATGGAGTACTTCATCAAATTGATCAAGAAGAAACATGGAAAGGACATAAGCAAGGACAACCGTGCTCTTGGAAAGCTTAGGAGAGAATGCGAGCGAGCCAAGAGAGCTCTAAGCAACCAGCACCAAGTCCGTGTAGAAATTGAGTCACTCTATGAAGGCCTAGATTTCTCTGAGCCACTGACACGTGCTCGTTTCGAAGAATTGAACAATGATTTGTTCAGGAAGACTATGGGACCAGTGAAGAAAGCCATGGAAGATGCTGGCCTTGAAAAGCGCCAGATTGACGAAATTGTTCTTGTTGGTGGAAGTACTAGAATTCCTAAAGTTCAGCAGCTTTTGAAGGATTATTTTGATGGGAAGGAGCCGAGTAAAGGAGTGAACCCTGATGAGGCAGTTGCCTATGGTGCAGCAGTACAAGGAAGTATCTTGAGTGGTGAGGGTGGTGAAGAAACTAAAGGTAAAAAAAAAATCAGGAAACCTTAAATTTGTAGTTGATAGCAAAAATTACTTTATTGTTGTCTTATTGTAATACAATATCAATGCAGATATCCTACTGTTGGATGTTGCACCACTTACTCTTGGAATTGAGACTGTTGGCGGAGTGATGACCAAATTGATCCCCAGAAACACTGTTATCCCAACCAAGAAATCTCAAGTTTTTAGCACTTACCAGGATCAACAAACCACTGTATCCATTCAGGTGTGGATGAATTCTGTATGAAAACTTGCTATGAAGTTTTCATTGTATATCTTACCTATATTAAGATGAATTGATTGTTTGTCGTAGGTCTTTGAGGGTGAAAGAAGCCTCACAAAGGACTGTAGGATGCTTGGCAAGTTTGATCTAAGCGGAATTGCTCCTGCTCCTAGGTTTGTTCCTGATTTCATTGGTCACAATGTCTTCTATGATATAAGTGCTACATCCAGATTTCACCAGACATGTTCTGTGTTGTTACCAAGAGTTTTTTCAAAAGCAAAATGGATTAAAAGAAAAAGGGATGTTATTGTGTTCAAACTGATTGTTCCAACAACAGTAGTTAAAACTGCATGATGTTGTGAGTGCAGTTATTATTATACCAATTACTTACGAATAACTTACTGATACTATGATAAATGGTGAAACAGGGGTGTGCCTCAAATTGAAGTAACCTTCGAGGTAGATGCCAATGGCATCCTCAACGTGAAAGCAGAAGACAAAGCCAGTGGAAAATCTGAAAAGATCACCATTACCAATGACAAGGGCCGTCTGAGCCAAGATGAGATTGACCGAATGGTTCGTGAGGCAGAGGAATTTGCTGAGGAAGACAAAAAAATCAAGGAGAAGATTGATGCACGCAACCAATTGGAAACATATGTATATAACATGAAGAACACCATCAATGACAAAGATAAGCTTGCTGATAAGATCGAGAGCGAGGATAAAGAGAAAGTTGAGGCAGCTCTTAAGGAAGCTTTAGAGTGGCTTGATGACAATCAGAGTGCAGAGAAAGAGGACTACGACGAGAAGCTGAAGGAGGTGGAAGCTGTTTGCAATCCAATTATATCTGCAGTTTATCAGAAATCTGGCGGTGCTCCTGGTGGCAGCTCAGATGGAGGCGATGATGATGATGACTCACATGACGAGCTTTAGGTTTTCTCTTTATTTCTTCTGAATTATTGACACAGTTGATGAAGAGTAGCCTTGTAACTGTATGGAGCTCATGAGGAAGGATAGAAAGCAAAAGGAGCAGGAACTGGCTTCGAGATTACTGCAGGTATAAATACTGCGAAAGGAACAAATGACTTCCAGTTGTGGGAGGCCTAATTTGTAAAATTGCATGCTTTTCATCTTTTTCTGAAGCAGACTATTATACATCCATTTTTTTTAATGAAGACGGATTCTGCTGATTTTTTTCTGGAGATCAAAGGTGTAGTACAACTCTAGTGTAATTTTTCCAAAAACAAGTGGCATGCTCCCTAATAAAGCTACATGCCAAGCATCTTTTTACTTGTTCTTCTGCATGCAAGTAACTGTCGTGTCAATCTAATTTAAATTATTCAACAAGATCTAAACATCGTTCTCTTACCAAAATTGCGTTGCAAGTATCAAATTGCTAATTAAATACCCTGTAGCTATGAACAAGTATGGTATCATGAGGGGCTATATCGCAACACGGAGGACATCGCTAACGTGGTATCCACTAGTACTAAGTTGAATTTCTGATATATGATACACCTGACCATGATAAGTTTTTCCCCCTATATAGAGGGGGGAGAAACTAGCATTACAAGTAAACATACACAAAATAACAACTCCACATGAACCAAAAAGACACTGGAGGTTATTTTTCAGAGAAACAATCCGGCCATCAACAAGCTGGTGAGCCTCCATCAGAACTCAACCACACTCGCCTCCAATCTCAGGACCATCGTGGATAAGTCATCACGATTGACACACCCCTCTCTGATATTCTTTCAGTAAGAATAGGTCCAGGTTGCATCTGAAGCTGCACAATTCCTGTGCAAGCCCAGATATCAGTATTATTAGCCAGAATTGGTCAATTAAACTTTTTAATTTTAGAGTAGTATTAACTGTACTACTAAAGCTATACTACTTCTGTATTCACACAAGCAAAAAAGTAGGGTCCATGGCGAAACATTTTTCTTGACAATCTCGAAGAAAAACCCCACATATTTGTTACAAGAATATCATCGAACCTGTAGTGCAATTATCATTTTCCTTAATTTGATATTTAAGACTATAATATTATAATACCCAAAGAGTTTTGGTGTAGAGATGGCAGAGTAACTTAGATTAAACCCAAGGCTTCTATCCCTCCATTTGGACCATAATCACCAAAACTAGGTGTCGTGAATGTCAAAGTAATATTTATCCTACAAAAAATCTTCGATTATATTGGTCATTGTATGTGATTCACCATTTCTCCCCAGATCGGTGCAACACATTATCCTAACAGGTTATCTGATGTTAGCATCACATTTCAGGTCATTGTATGTGATTCACCATTCTTTCTTTTAGACAGGACTCTCGGTTTCTAAACTGGTTTTGCGATGAATTATGGAACATGCTTATGGATCTCCTTATTAACTTAAATTTAACTTAGAGATGTCGATATCATCACTTGCAGGAGTTCAAATGCCCTTATATTCTTCCAACTCCATATAGAAACTACTTACAAATCTCCATGTCTTTTTGCAGAAGTTCAAAATGCCTTACATTGATAACAAGTCTATTGTGAACTTCTGCAGGCAATAATATGCTCAGTAAACACCAAGATATCATTACCCTCTAAGCCTTCCCCCAACAAAGTAAGTACATTACGGGGTCGATACGCCAATGGGGATTTAGTGAATGTCGTGAATGCTATCAACCTCAAAGTGGCCTCTTTAACCTGGAAAAAAAGAATCCGAAGGAACTATCGGCATGATAAGGGTTTCCTAAATTCTGGAAAAAAGAATCCGAAGGAACTATAGGCATGATAAGGGTTTCCTAAATTCTACATGCACGATCAGTGGTCGCAAGTAAAGTGATCTTTGTATCGTGCGATTTATGCTCTTCCAACCAAGGTGCATAATAGTGAACATTAACGGGTTACTACTATAAGCATAATGCTGTTCAAAACGTTAGCAAAGAGAATATGATGGTGCACTTACTTAAGGGGGATATAATACCAGCCAACACCTAAGCAGGCACTTTCGATTAGACATGGAAGTCCTGAACTCCTTGTTTAATGAGCTACTGAGGTTAAGAATCTTCTGGTAAGTCTTTTTTATTGGTTAAAAGAGTACTAATCTTTTGAAGGAGTGGTCGGGGTCCTTAGATCAGGAAAGCTCTGCTACATTGTTTTGGTTTAGGGGCTGTTTGGTTCGTAAAAAAAGCCCCGAAACCCATTTCCCTCCCCTGACACCGCGTCCACCTCGGACATTTCATTTCCTTGTGTTTCTTTGTGCGGGTTTGGTTCGCAGTGGGTTCTAGGGTTTCCAGCGGCAGAAAACTCCTCCATCTCAGCCAAATCGCTCGTCGCGATTTTCTCAAAAAACGAGCGGAAAACCTAGGAAAACCCTCATCTTGTGTCCTTTTGTTAGATCTGCAATATTTTCGAAAAATTTATTGGTTGGCTAGGGTTACCGCCAAGTCCCGCCATTCCTTTCATGTTCGCGTGTCGGATCTACGAAATATGGGGATTTCGTCAGATTTTGTCGGTTTTTGTCGGATTTTGTTGGATTTAGTCGAATTTTCGTTGGATTTTTTATCGGATTTGGGGAAATCACTGCCTTTCTGAGGGTATTTCGTCGGATTTTTGCTTGATTTGTTGAATTTCAGCAATTACAGGTATAATTTCGCCATGTTATTCGTTTTGTTTCTTATTCACTGCCATTCTGATTTTTGCATGCTTTTTGCTTGATTTAGAATTATTTAAATGCTATGGTGTGTATCATGATAGCAATCCTAACTTTAGAAATATGAATTATTTCAATGCTTGATTTAGAATTATTTAAATCCTATGGTGTGTATCACTGCCTTTCTGATTTTTGCTTGATTCGAGCTTGTTTAGCTCTTTGTTGTTGGGTTTTTGGTTGCTATTTGTGCTCGTCGTCGAGCTCCCGTGACTGTTTTTTGTTACTATGCTGATTCGAGCTTGTTTAGCTCTATGTTGTTGGGTTTTTGGTTGCTATTTATGCTCGTCGTCGAGATCCCGTGGCTATTTGTTTTTACTATGCTGATTCGAGCTTGTTTAGCTCTATGATGTTGGGTTTTGTGGTTGCTATTTGTGCTCGTCGTCGAGCTCCCGTGGCTGTTTTTTGTTACTATACTGATTCGAGCTTGTTTAGCTCTATGTTGTTGGGTTTTTGGTTGCTATTTGTGCTCGTTGTCGAGCTCCCATGGCTGTTTTTTGTTACTATGCAGATTCGAGCTTGTTTAGCTCTATGTTGTTGGGTTTTTGGTTGCTATTTGTGCTATGTTGTTGGGTTTTTGGTTGCTATTTGTGCTCGTCGTCGAGCTCCCGTTGTTTGGTAAAAAATTTGTAGTAAATAAAAAAAAATTGATTTGTATTCTCTCGTTCTTAATTACAATTTGAATTCCTGATTACAAAAGAGAGGAGAATGATATGTATTCTCCCCTTTGTTTAATTCTGGGTTCTTCACGGTGGCAATGAGATGCCTCCCTCGAATGCTTGCGTCGAGTTTGTGTTGGCCTTCTTGTTTGGATGATGTTTAACAAACAATTTATCACTAATGTTGTTTGTCTAGTATTTGTGTTTTCGTATTTATTGTAGACAAACAACGTAGTTGGAGGATGGATGGAATAGAGCTTCAACGATGATATCCAATGGAGGTTGGCGGAATGTCGGAGTGAAGCAACATACAATTCAAGTTAAAGATCAAGTTCAAGCTTCATCCGCATGTGTACCAAGTTGAGCTACAATGAAGATAAAGATCAAGCTTGGGTAATCTAGTTTAGATTTTATATTATGTGTGTTAGATACTCTAAGCTCAATATCATATACACACACATTTATTGGTTTCTTCGTATATATATATAGTTATATATATATACATATACATAAGTTTTGGTTTCTATGCATATATATAGTTATATATATACATACATGTGTTTTTGAGTTTTCATGTTTATAAATATGAAATCACATGTTTCATATTTATTATTGTGTTTTAGTATATATTATGCAATTTTGTGAAAATATTGATGTAGGCATATAAAACTGCCTATAGGTCCCTGAATACAGCTCGACACGGTGATTCGACAAACCAACGAACCATCGGACGATATATCCAAGCACCGGTCGACCGACGAAGTCTCTGTTTGTTTCGTTGTTTTCAGATCTGCTCGCGGTCGACCGGATTTTCCGTCGGTCGACCGAATTCTTTCCATCGGTCGACTGACGATATTTCCGGTCTACCGACAAAAGAGCCGTTGGCTCCTAACGGCTATTTCTGAGCTGATCTGTCTGGGGCTTTTCTGTCTTTCACTTGGGGGTTTTTGGCTGAGCTTTGAGTGGGTATAAATACCCTCCTTGATCTCAGTTTTCATTTAAAAAAGAGTTTTAAAAACAAGTTTAAAGAGTTTTGTTTAAGGGTTTAGTGTTTGTTTAAAAAGCTTTTAAGCATTTACAAGAGTTTGGTTTGTGGAGCAAATTTCACAAGAGCAAGTGGAGATCATCCTTGGTGTTTGAGCATTCATTCTTCTCCCTCTCTCTTGTCATCTATAGAGAAGTTTCCTTAAACTCAATTCTAGCATTTTATAAGTTTATTCTTAATTTCATAAGCTAGATTTCATATTGAGTTTATATTGTTTTATCTCTTTGTTCACACACAACCTATTGAGCTTATTGTATTTACATTCATAGTATAATTTAGGGTTGTGGGTTTGTGACATTGAGAGTGAGCTTAATTGAGTTCTCATCTTGTTTAGAGAACAATCAATTGAATTATATTGTGCTTAATTGTGAGGATTCACTTGTAATACACTTGTACACCGAGAGAAGTGTGTGGTGAGAGACGGGGTCGAATCCAAGAGGAGTGGCGTCGGTTGACGTGTCTAGGGAGAGGTTGTAACCGAGCACTTGAGGAGGAGGACATGGGCTAGGACCAACACTTAGTGTGTGAGGTGTGATTACATAGTGATTGTATTGTGAGGTGTAAACGTTGTTCGGGTGAACGTAGAAAACCCGGTTGTGATAGTGGAGATCTCCTCGAGGTGAGGAGCGGGGACGTAGGTCGTGGGGACCGAACCTCGTAAACATATCGTTTTGTTTGTGATTGCATTGGCGTTCTTATTCTTGTTTTCATATCTTATATCGCCTTTGTGTATTGCTCATCATATTACCCTATCACTTGTGTAGATTGTTTATTTTACCCTTGTGTTAGTTCATATATCCTTGCTCATACATTTGTAATATCTCATTGCTAGGATATATCCCCTGTTCATATTGTTTATCCTAGCTCACATATCTTGTTGTATTT